TAGTTCTTCAATTATTAGTTCTTATTTAAAAATATGTATTTTATATATATACATTATATATATTGAAAACTTTCTAATAATTTCCAATTTGATTTCAGAATTTAGGGCTTTACATGTTTTTGTTGGCGCTTTTTACTGATCCTCCCTCTAGGCTGGAGGACGCAGCTTGCGTAAAAGTAGTGTTGCAAATGAAAAATCAGATATAGAAAATTTTGGTTAAGCAAGTCATATTAAAGATTAACTGTTTCTTCTTTCATCTTACTATTTTTTATTAATTAACTGTTTTTCTTCCTTATATTTTCTTGTATGACTGTCATGAAATACGAGGTGCAGTTCAGTGAAGTACCCTAAACATTAGTGATCTCTGTGAACAAGCACTCGCTATTGACTCTCGGGGAAGTCATGACTACTATGAAAGCCACAGCCCAGACTTTTTTTTCCCTTCTGAAATTACAACTGAGATACATGCATGTTTATACAAATGTGCTATGAGAGGAGTACAGACATTCAGAATCTGTAGTTAAGTGTCACCTCCGTCTATCCCAATTTACTTCCAACATTTCTCTCTATATCAATTCTTCCTGCTGTGTCACACTCTCGCTGAGTTCTCTTTCCTGAAAGTTTAGTGGAATGGGGATATTCAAGTCATTTTCTATTGCAGTTCTGAGAGCCAGGTGCCCGTGGTTTCTGTAGAGAGAATAAAGACAGGCAGATGCCTTGGGCAAAGGCAGAGGATAGGAGGGAATGCTGTTCAGGACTGGATGTCTGGACTAGCCTGAGGTGCAGGATGGGAATATTCTTTACTACCCCAACGGAGAAATATTTTCCTGTAAGCAAGAGGAAAATTAGGGTTTGGTATTATCTTACTGGTTTTGGTTTTATACAGCATTTCATTGCAAAAATTTTGTTTAGTGCTATCCAGGCACTTGACTCAATCTTCACTAAGCCCAACAGAAAGCAGTTTTAAAAGGCTTATGCCTTCAGTATGAGACTAGGAAAACTAGGTGCTACTGATTTAAATTTAACATTAAGCAGTTATGAAGACAGTTAAAATGTATCAGTACTTGAAGACATTTGAAACACTGTTCAAGGTGAGGTTGGATGGGGCATTGAGCAACCACCTCTAGTGGAAGGTGTCCCTGCTCATTGCGGGGGGGTTAGAACTAGGTGATTTTTAAGGTCCCTTCCAGCCCAAACCATTCTGTGATTCTATGATTCTAAGAAGAGCAGTAGCAAAAGTCAATTTATTCTCTCATGATACTTACAAACTATTCTCAATATCCTTTTAAAAATGTAAATTACATTATTTTGGATTATTGCATTATGATACAGGAATAAAACATGAATGAGTTAAAATCTCCTTTTTTATTTCTGAACTAGCTGTTTCTAGTGTTCATATTTGTTTGGTTGGTGTTTTTTTGATACATCACCATTACCACAGATTTAAAGAACAGAATTTTTTTCTGTACATCTTGGGGGGGAAATGCAGCAAGGAGGATGCACTGATTTGATTCTTTTTCCCTCACATGTGAATAAATGTGCAGTTACTGTAACTAAACTACAGATACCCAAATAGCTGGATTAATTTTGATAATCCTGGAGCTTCCCCCTCTACTTACTCCAAAACATCCTTATAAGATAGAAATTCTTTAAAGCAAAAGCTGATTTTTACCATGAAAACAAGTAGTTTTCTGATTTGGAATATTTTCATAGCCATAATGGCATTCGGAGTGTGAAAATAGAGGCGTGGAAAAAGACAGAGCTATTACACAAATAGCCTAAAAAGTTGCTCAGTGTTTTCATAATTTGAGTGTTTCAGGAATGTGTTACTTTATAGAACTTTCTGCATTTTAATTTTTCTTCCGGTATGTCAGTACAGTCAGTACGTCATATCCTGCACCACTGAGAATATTTGCCACCCAGTGGCAGGAAAGGGTTAGTAGTCTACTTATGTATATGTAGTGAAAACACTAGAGGAAATTACTCTGTACTTAAAATGGGGGCATGTATGGCATTTTCACTGATTGCTGTCATAATGTTTGATGTTGCAGGATGGATGGTCACAGTATCACTTTGTAGCCTCATCTTCAACCATAGAAAGGGATCGGCAAAGACCGTACTCTTCATCACGCACGCCCTCCATCTCTCCTGTGCGCATGTCTCCTAACAACCGCTCAGGTAAGACCAGGCTTTCAGGACTGAAGTAAAGACAGAGGTAATCCATCACTGTCATTTTCCTTCTTTAAGCAATGTCACTGGCATCCTGATTTGTTGTTAACAATGGTGGAAAGGCACAAAATATGTTCTATACTCTTACCTGAATTACCTGTTCAAAACAGGATTTTTTTTTTTTATTAACACCTTGTAAAGTTTTACAGCAGGAAGAATATTCCATAGCATCTTGCCATGAATTTTCATGCAGTGTTTTCCTGATTTGGATTACCTGACTAGATCTCAGAGCAGTGGTGTCCGTGAAGGAAATGGACATGAGGAAATTTTGTTACTTACTTTTCTAGTCATGAAAACTGCTATGTCGTTAATGATGACCTCTGCACACTTAGAAGTTGTTGAAGGATCCTCATTGTTTTTTGTCAGCTTTTATTCTGATCATATGTGTATGCATGTATAAGTGTTCATATACATGTATGGATAAGTTTTAAAAAAATTGACTACAGGTCTTCATGTGATGTTGATAGCATATTTACACCAGTTATCATTAGTTCTGTGTGATCAATACAATGAATTAATGTAAGTATCTCAACTTACGCTGCAATGTTAACTAATTTTTCTATTCAGAAATCTGGGCATTTTCCCCTCAGCTTATTCTAAGGCAGAGCTTACTTTGGTTAGATAAAACCATTCCCAAATAAAATCTTTTAAAATAAACAGAGTAAACAGTCAGCCTTTCAATGTACTTTTTACTACTTGTTCAGTCAAATTCTGTCAATCGATATACAAAGAATTTACGATTTAAATTGGCCAAACTGATTATTGCCATGAGCATTATGCCGTAGTTTTCTTTTTAAGGAATCTCCTTTTTTTTTTAATTAACTAGAAGCTGCATCTTAGTCCTGCAGACCAACCTCTGGGGAAATTTGAAAATGTAGCCAGGAGTACAGTGAGAGCTGCTATTCAGTTCTAAAAATCTGTCATTACACAAGTCCATAAAGGGCTCTTGTTCCTTTTTTCCTTCTCCAGAATCTCATTTTGACTGTAAGTACAAGACACTTGAAATGTCTGGCCCTAAGATCTTAGTTCTGTCTCTTTCCAGAACTGTCTCTTCACTTACGTTACTTTATTGCTTAAAGAACATACTTAGAGAAAATTTGGATGAAATCTTACTGCCATCATCAGGATCATAAGACTGCAAAAGGACTAATATAGTGCTGGTTTCTGAAGGAAGAGGAACCCATGTAATTACAGACCAGGCAGCTCAACTTCATTCTAGAAAATTGCTGGAACAAATAATCACAATCTGAGCATCTCAAAGATAGGTAGGAACACAAGATACTGCTTCACTCTAGGAGTGTCTGTTTCTACATAGCATAAGTTACTGTCTGACTAGTAGTATCCATATCAAATCCAAATATTGGTTCAATATGATTTGTTCTTGCAAAATGCACCTGAATTCCTACTACAACATAGTTAAAGCACTTTATGGAAAGAGTAGTCAGTAAATGAAATCTACTGTAATGGGTAAGACTCTTTCAGACAAGAATTTTATAGGCAAGCTAGGGCAACCTAGCAAACAGTCCAGAAAGTGTCATGTATGGTAAATACAAAACTGACTAAAAACCATTCACAAAGAATGAGTGTTGTTTATTGCCAAAATACAGGAAGGCTTTACTTGGAGGTTTGCCTGGGGCCCAGTACTCTTCAGTGGCTTCATTAATAACCCAGATAATGTACAAAAGATGCCTATTACCTTTGCGGGTGCCACAGACTGGGAGAAACTCATGTACCTTAAAGGTCATTATTGGAATTCAGAGTGATACTGAAAAATTGGAGATCTGTCCAAAGGGGAAAAAAGATCAGTCCTTTAGAAATAAATTGTAAGGATAATAGCTGGCTAGACAAAAGTTCTTTTGAAATTATTTAGGGATTTTTGTCAGTTGCACACATGAATCGGGAGATGGAGAAATCAGGATATGAAAAACACTGAATGTACTGCAATTGTTTAACTCAAATAAGAGAGACACAAGATGGGAGCAGTGGGAAGAGGTACACACCAAGTATTCAAGCCAGCTGTGAAGAGAGACAGCGTGAACTTTCTCTACTTTCATAGCAGGCAACTGGAAATAATGAACAGTGAGGAGTCACGCTAAACATCAGGGAACATTTCCTAACAGTAGGGAAACAAAGCACTGGAACAGACTGCTCGAAGCAGTTATGTGATCTCTGTCATTAGAGATCTTTAGTTTTAGATTAAAATCTGTCAAGAATTATTTTGGTGCACTGGATCCTACCTTGGGGTAAAGAGTTGAAGTAAATGAACTCACAATGTCCCATTCATCGCTAGGACTTGGGAGTTCTGTCTTCTTCTCTATGTCCTTTAAGAATAGAAAACCTTGATACCACTTTTCAGTCTCATGTCAACCAGTGATTTTCTATCTGCTTCTAGTAAAAGCTCTGAAAGAGGGCACTTCTGGACTTTAACACTTGCCAGAAAGCAGTCGTTCTCTAATGGGAGGAGAGAGATAGTTTCCACAGAGAACAGAGAGAGATGTTTTTGTCTTTATTGGTCAATTGTATTCAAAACACCAGTGCTTAAAAGCCTTACCAGAGTACGCGAGACAAAATGCATCCCCGTGTAAGCAACTTCTTCAAGGTCTGCCTTCTGGTTTGTTCCCTATTAGACTTAAGTTGCCATTGGCTGATTTGATAATTTAATATGACATTTCTTTATACCTGCTGGATTATCAAGTTTAGAATTACATCACTATGGACAAGCAATTTAAAAACAATACCAAATTTGAATGGCCTCATAAGAAAAACCATTTCTTACGGTCATCTCTGTATTTGCTTTACAAATTCTGAGGCCAGGGCCAACAGAACCAATCTAAGCAGAATTCAGCATGGCTTATGCTTCCTTACTCCTTAACTAAAAAATGTAACATAATTTAGAGACGCTGAAAGATACAATTCATGATCAAGCATCACAAATGAGCTTGTCTTATATTTTTTTCTATCTACTTTTCCTTCCTTTTAAGCAAGGACATTGTTACTGCTTTTGAGTTTTTTTTGATATACCAAATACTTGAGTGGAGGTAGGAGAGGGTATGGAAGTAAGCACCAGCCCTTTAGTTATTTTTGTACACTGTGCCTTCACAAGGCTCTGGGGTGCTCTGCCACTTGCCCTGTACTCCTTCCCCTGCTCTTCATAACAGGGAAGGTGAATTGTGTCTACCAACATCTACATATAGCGAAGTCAGTTTATGTGAAAGCCATTATGTTTTCCTAGGCATCACAGGCTGTAAGTCTTCATAATCAGTGCCAGTGATCACCTTCATATTCTCAAGTACCTGAAAATCAAGTACATACTAGTTCTCATCCTAGTCACCTTGTACTTTCCTCCTCTTAGCCGTACCACAAGTATAGGTGAAGGATTTCATTTTAGCAATAGCTTAAAGTAGCAGTTGTTGTTCTAAAGTAGCAGTTGTTCATAAAATTTGAAAGACACATAATTATTTGTTACCTTTAAGTGTTAGGCATTCATTGCTGTAAGTTTTCTAAGAAAAACAGGTTTCTTTTCTCCCCATCTCCATTAGAATCCTTTAATTGGCTTGCTTATTTTCAACAGAGAAAGGAAGAAATCATTTTATAACATTTTTTTTCTACACAGTCGATAGTTAATGGGCTTTTCAACAGAAATAAAATAATCCTTTTTGAGAAAAGAAAAAAAGGAAGTGCCTATACCAGGAAGTTTTGACAAGTTAAAGAATTTGGAAAGCAAGTTTTTAATTATTGTGCTTTTTTTGTAACAATCATCTTAGTTGTTGAGTATAAATGAAAAAAGTAAAACATTCAGAGAGAAAATTATGTTTGGAGTTGATTGATTGTTGCATAAATACATTTGTCCTGTACTTGAAATAACAGTACCTTTTCTTTTCCTCCATAATGGGGTAGTGTTCCTTCAAACAGCTTAATACTAGTATGCAAACAAATATAAACTTTACTGAAATGTTTACTCTAGAGTTAAACGTTCATATGTTCTGTCATATGTGGCAAGAAAAAACAAATGGATTTTTGTGATCTAGCAAGTGCCCCAGCCTCACCTCGGGAAATGATCAGCCTAAAAGAAAGAAAAACAGACTATGAATCAACTGGAACAAACGCCACTTACCATGGAAATAAGGGGGAACACACTTCTCGGAAAGACACCATGACAGGTGAGTTTATGCTTGCATTGCATAGGTAAAAATCAGCTGTGTAGACCACTGATTATAAAGGCTTGACTGGGTTTGCTGAAGAAGTATTTGATCTTAATGAATAGAATGGTATGTGAAAATGATTTGTGAAGAGCATGTTTCTTCCAAGAAGAAGGGCTGTAAAGCCAGATTTACATTGCTTTGTAACTTTATATTTATTTTCATTTCAGAAGGAAGTTGGTAGATCACTTTGAATTAACTAGTGTTGTTTCTGCAAGCATGACAATGTTTGAGCATGTGTCCTAACATCTGTCTTTGACAGGGAATGGCTTTCCGGGGCCAGTTAGCTTATTTTTCACATCAGTCATCTCTAGGAAATTTGGTGGTGTTTGTGAAGTCTGTCTGTGTTACTTTCCCAGCTGGGCTGATTTAAATGCAACAGTTCTCTCTGTGTGTGTTATGGCATCTATTGCAGGTTTCACTTGAAGGCCTCTCCCCCATGGTGAGCTCATTAACCTGTCAGCATTTCAGTAATTACAAAATTTTGAGTGCTTTGACCAGTACTGCACCTCTTAATTAATTCTTTTGCAAATACATGTTGGTCTCCATCACCATTGCACAGGCTTTTATAACCTTTGCTGAACATGGTGTTACATTTATATAATACTGAGCATCCTGGTGTCCTCTTCTCCAAATGCTACTACAGTGAGGAGTCACTCTGCACATTCTGAATGCCTGTTACCGTTCCCCGTGCCCTCGGTAGAGGTCTTGCTTAGAGGATGCCAGAATGGAGGATCGCTGGGTTCCTCAGCTCACAGGGGACACCAGGACCATGCTGACTTCAGAATCAAGCCATCAGTACTGGTGTTCAAGACCGTATTCAGGATATGATGATAGTCATACTGCATCTACCGTGTTATTCACTACTGTGTAATCAAAACCTAAAGGCCAGCCTTTTGTGTGAAAATGCAGTACAGAACGTTAATTAGCATGCAAGTGAAAACATGAAGATGAGGAATAACAAGAGCATTTGGAAGCCATTGAAATTAGGAGTCTCCTGAACGACATCTGCAGAGTACTACATGAGATTGCAGCAGATTCAGTCAAGGTACTGCATTTTATGTATCTGTAATATTTTCAGTGTTTTGTAGTCATTGCACAAGGTGTTTCTCTAAAGCACTTCAGTGGTCTTTATTTGTGTGATTGTGAAGGACAGGACTGTGTTTCTTTCAGCACTTTGTCAAGGACCCATGAAGAGGGACTCTCAGGAGTAAGAGCAAAAGGCTGAAAATGCAGAAAAACTAGTATTTTGTTCAAGCTGTATCTGCAAATTCAGACTACCAGATTATATGAGAAGGTTCACCCAAAAAGAAGTGTTCCCATGTGAAAAATCTGCATTTACTTACAGACAGTCTTGTCTTTTGCCACACATTAAATAAAAAAAATAGGGTTTTCTTCTTCCCCAACCCTTTTCATTTTGTCTTCTACTGTAGTGCTTTTCTTCTCCCATTCCTGTTTCCTTTGTTTCCTTTATCTTTCAATGTACTTTTTGGAGTGTGGGGTTTGTACTTCCCCTGCAACCTTTGCTTCACTTCGATTTTTGCATCATGTTTTCCTTTAATATCTGCTTGTATTTGTCTGTTCTTATTGATCTTTTGGGTGGGCTTTTAGTAAGGAAAGTTGAAACGCTCAGCATCATGCTCAGTTATCGACTATTTTTCCAGCAACTGACCTCAGTGAGAAAATCAAAACCAAAATCAAATTGAAAAGGACAATAATATTTCACAATCACATATGACCATTGTACAAATTAATATGGAGTTAACAAATCACTTTTTCTTTCTTTCAGGTCACCAAATCTCTGCTCATTTGCTCTAAGTTCAAATTAAGCACCGTTTCTAAGAACAAAAGAAAATGACAGAAGGAGTCTTGTGCATCAACATTCAACGCGAAATTTGTGTAACATATTTGTAGCTCATTAAATAATAAATACTTCATTAAAGAATGATGTTAAATCAGTATTTGTGATTTCAATTGTGAGACATTTTGGCTTTATTTGAATGGTCTAATATAAGTTCATGTAGCAAGTTCATTGCAATCTCTGTATTTCATTTTGTGCATCAGACAATACTTTGCAGCAAATACATCTGTGGAACCTATGGGATGGATGTTTTTTCAGGTTCCACCTGGCATATACATATTTTGAACTGCTCTTGTGTTTTGTGCCAAGCTGATGTATTACACAAAGCTTTCTTTGACTTACAGGTTTACACAGAATGTAAAGCCACATTGTAGTTCCAATTTATCCATGACTGTCTCCATGTTCTTCTCCAAAGCTCTTCCCAGTTTATACTTCAGAAATTTTATGACCTCTTGGTTGGGGCTGAAATGAACATTTTTAGATGGACTTTTGAAGTAGAATGTTGGCTTCTTGCCATTGTGGGGAGTTGTTAGGAAACCTCTGGGGAAAAATGGAGAATCTATGAAGTAAACAGTGTGGCTGAAGATGATAACTTGCATCGATTTCACAAGGACAGCTAAAAAATAGAGGAACAATATCAAAGTTCTCATTGCCCTCTTCAGAGGTTTATGATGCCTTTTATATTTACTATCTATCTCTTCTCTGTAGAAAATAATAACCAATAATAAAATTTTATCACCTAAAGTATATTTTTAAGACAAAACCTATTATATTCCTTAAAAAAAAAAACAAACCAGAAACTTTTAAGTGCATGTGATAACATTATTTATGCGATGGTGTTTTCCTTCAGAACAGTGAAGATGAGGCTACTGTACACTGTCATGGGACTCCTATTCTGAAGTTTCTTTTACTTTGTTAGTTCCCTCACTGAAGTAATATGTGCATCACAGACTTCACCCCATATCTTCACTTTCACCAGCAGAAGCATCTCCTGATTAATTTATTTTCTTTCTGTTTTAAAGAATCAGTCGTCTCTACTTTTGGTTTTTAAACTTATTTTCGAGTCTGGACATACAGAACATGACCAACCACCATCATCTGTTACAATAGCTACAGAAACTAAGGCTACTCATTATTACTTTAAGAAACCATAGTACACTCTAATCTTTTCTCATGCCCTTACTTCATCTTTCACCATTCAGGAAAGTGGCAGCTGTAGTGATAGGTAATGATCTCTGGTAGCTGAGATTTGTGAGGCACAGAAGCATTTTGCTTTACTGTCTTGAACTAAATTTTAGAAAATGGAGTCCTGCTGCTTGTAGCAGAAGAAGCAGGTTACGTGATACCAGATGAAGACGACTGTCTGTCTAGCTGAGTTTTCCTCAGTCTGTGTTTCTGAGGGCGAAAGGCTAGCCTCTTGGCTATTTCAAAGTATCTGTAAATGTGTTCAGAATAAGTACTTAAAAGAACTGAAAGCTGAATATTAAACCATGAATCAAGTGACTGGGAGGTATGAGGACAGCTTCGGTCAGGGATACCTTTGTCACATAAACCACAGTGTGACGTAATTTTGAAAGCTGTTGTCCACTTTGCAGAAAACTGCTATGGGGAACTGTATGGTGTTTTTGTTGAACCAATATCACCTTGAAAACTGAACAGAGGGGAAAAGGAAGGTATTTTTCTGTCATGTTTTTTATGAAATATGACCACAATACTGCAGGTTGATCATAGTACTCATTTTAGAACCTTCACAATTTTTCTTTGTAAAAACTACTGCTTCAGTACTATCACGTACTGATGCTTAGGTAGTGCATAAAATACACACTCATCACTCCTCAAATCTTTTCATCTGCAGCTGCAATTCTCACATCTCTGTAAGGAAGTGTGGCTGCTGGAAAATCTCCATGTCTTACTCCTAGTACTCCTTCCCCTTCTCTTGCAATGTTTAAAAGAAGAACATTATTTCATTAATGTCTCTTTTTCCCTGTTTGAAAATGTTACTATGATAGTTCATATACAGTATTAACAGGAAAAATCAGATTCTAACCACACAATATCTGTCCATTCATCTAGCTCATTCTCTCCCTTTTTTCTCTTAATATTTGCCCTCTGCTTTTGGACAGCCAGAGTCAACTGCTCACTGAAGCATGGCAGAGCAGGAATGGAGTTCCCAGGGATGTTGCCTGCATGTTCAGAAGCAGGTACTGGAGGGGGCTGCATGCACTGCTAGCAGCTACATTGCTTGACTTACATTCCCTCCAGAGAGAATTATCTCAGCCTCCCAGTTAGGCTAAGTCAAGACTTCTTGCACTCTAGTCATTCATTTCCAAGCATTTGATGTGTCATTGGTTTTATTACATTGAGAAAATAATGCTACCTTTTTGATATTTTTTTTTTTTCATTTTAAACACGTGAATTTGTACACATCCCTGATGTCACATGCAGTGAAATCAGCAGCACAGACCTTGCAGCTATTTTCATAAGCTGATACTATCCATTTTCCATCGCAGAATATGTGATCTGGGAGACCTTAAGTCTTCAATCTGGCATGTGACAGTATATCAGTGCAAATGTCACAGCAGTGAATTGGACAGCTATGCACCAACTCTAGACTATTTCTGGTTTTATAATAGTCATGGCTACTAGTGGCACATACGTACAATGTGCCTTTTTACATACCTGTAAAAAGATGGAAAGGTCATGATTCTCCTTAAAGTCTCTCTGATTGCCTGTAGGAACAACATATAAATTAATTAGCATGTGTCCAGTTTGCTATTTTTCATCTGATTCTTCATAAAACCCTCAAGTGTTGCACCTTATACCAGTCTTTTATTCTTGACATCAACCAACCATGAACAGTATTGTCCAGACTGGTCATGCCTGACTAAAACCTTGCATGCAGGAAACTTCAACCCTGCTTACCTTGCTGTTCATATACATGAAAACAAAATGGTTACATGAACTCACTTTTATCTTTTTCAAGAAGTAGCACATCACAAAATGGGTAGCTGAAATGCTAATTTTGAGAATATTGAGGTCTTGAGGAATTTGCACTTTGTGAGGCAAGCTAAAAACTCAGAAACAGCATAAAAAGAAGATGATATCAAGGAAAGATCTAGCAGTTGTATTACTGCGAGTCATGCCATCATGAGATGCACCATAAATAGCAATGCTCATGCGGACTCCTCTAATACCGAAGACTGTCATGAGGAGGGAGATTTTCTAACACTAAAGCAGAGGATGCTGCTGGAATTCAAAAAACAAAACAAACCTACCCAAAACACTGAAATAAGAGTCGAGTCTTACACGCCACTCAGGTTAGGTAACAAAACGCAGCCTGAACTGAGGAGAACCTCTGCAGATTGAGCTTTTGGCACTAACATCTATGACCAAAGACAAACTGCTCAAGCACTTGTCATTTCTGTCTGTTACCACCTACTAGCACAGAGGTGCAATAAAAAGTACCTACGTCTGGAAGAGACCATCCAGCATCTGTTACTAGAGTTCATATTCTTTCCCTCTTCAAAGAAAAGATCCTGCTATACTCCTTGGAGACATCCAAAGCTCTTCTCTGTTTCCTATACAAGACTATGCACTGTTTCAGTAACTGCATCTAGCTTTTCAAGAAGAAGTTCTTTTCACACCTATTAGTTAATGGTTATGAAGTGAAATATCTGGTTTTGCAGCTGTTAGGGCTCATCACCCTACCATCTAATCCCTGTCTTTATCTTGTTCCAAGAACACACTTGAGGTATTTAAGAACACCATCTGAGATGTGTAAAACAGCAGCATGGAGCAGAGAGAGGCAGTTGTACATGCTGGGGTCCATGCTAGCAGGTTGACGAAGGAAGGAAGAATGGTTACTTCTTCAGTAACTGTGGTTCTTCTTAGCAATGTGACTAGCATGGATCCCATACCCAGCTTTCAGCTCTGATCTGCCGAAGTTTTTCAGCTGTGAAGGTATTAAAAACAACACTTTGATGCCTTCAGGTTTTGTGCTATTGCACAGAGGCCTGAGAGAAGTCAGATGACCAACGTGTTTCATCTCCAACGATGACTCTGATGCAGAACTACTCAATTTTTACTTTCAGGCATGTGCTTTTATAATGAGAGTCCTCATGACAGCATCAAATCATGGATTCTCATGTCTGGAAAGTTAGTAGCGTGACCAGTAAGAACGGTGCGCAGCAGCCACACACATGCACAAAGGAAATACTGCCGTATTTCAAATACTGCTCTTTCAAATATGAGAAAGAACTACAGTCTTTCTAGTTTGACCAGCAGACTAAGCTTCAGCTAGGTAGCCAAATCAACATCATCAGTGAAGTCAGCTTTGCAGGGAAGAGCCTTAGCTTTTCATGTGGTTTTGGGGGGCAGGATGGGAAATAATGTGGGGGTTTTTGAAAGCTATATGTTATCCTTGTCTTTAAAATTACTTCTGCTTTCAAACTCATAGCTCAGTTTTGTCCATACATTTTAGAAGTAGGACATCTGAAAAGAAAGTGACATCAGTGCATGAGTTTCAGACTATCTTGGCCAGACCTCTTCAGTATAACTACATATAACTTTTTTTCTTTTTGATAATTCATTTTTCAGTTGCATTTAGTCACGTTTTCCATGAATAATTTTATGATGACATAAGATAAATAATCCACATCATCCAATTGAAGTGAAAGGACTGAAATGTTTCTTAATGTTTACAACTGTTACTTGTTCGGTGTGTGTGATATAAAATCCCATATATAACCTGATATATATTTACCAAATACTAGCTGTATATTTTGTTACTTATTGAAGTTATTTTGTTGATTTGTATGTGAAATGCACAAGATGATTGGTACAAACATGACAAAGCACCTGTTACTATTAGTAAGTGTGCACCATGGACATGCATGTACAACAAAGCAAAAATTATGACTGTATAGTGGGAGGAAGAGAAAACAGAAATCTGCAGATGTTTTTGAAGATTTTTGTGGGGGAAAAATGGACATTCTGTAATGTATTTAATGAAGCCCTAAGAATGCACTTTGAGGCCAAAGAGGTATCTCTGGTAAACCTGCTTTTTCCTTCCTTTTTCCCCTCTCCAGCTCAGAACACTGGAATCTCGACTTTGTACAGGAATTCATATGGTGCACCTGCTGAAGATATCAAACATAACCAGGTAAGTACAGAGACTAAAATGTTACAGTTTCAGTGTGACATCTTATATGGAAATGAAGGAAAATATCCCAAAGATTGGTAAATCAAGATTAGAGGAACTGAATTATCCGCTTGTACAAATGCTAGCAATTCCACTGGCTTCAAAGAAGCTATATTCTTTATCCTAATGGATAATTTCAGTTACATGTCAAAAATGTCCAACAGGTTATGATAGAATATGCACAAAAATTATCTAAGGTGTTTATGCCTGTAATTCATAATGAAGGCAAGAGGGGCTTCGGACCTGAATACCTTTAAAGTTCTGGATAGATGCCCCATTCCTAGAAACATTCAGGGCCAGGTTGGACAGGGCTCTGAGAGCCTGATGTAGTTGAAGATGTCCCTGCTTACTGAAGGGGGGTTGGACTAGATGACCTTTAAGGTCCCTTCCAACCAAAACCATTCTATCATTCTGTCATATGTGTGAGGTAGGCTACAAAATCCAAGCTAGCAGTAGTGGGCACTTCTACTGGCTCTGGTATCTCGAGATGCCCCATGTCAGTGAATTTGGTGAGGTCCAGCCCCACGTCACTACGTGAGCATAGTCATCATCAAATTCAAAACTGCTGCTCACACCGCACGACTCATGTACTGAGGCCTCCTAGCAATAGTTCAACTACTGAACAGGCCTGGAGAAAGAACAGGGGAGTGTGCACTGTACTTACGTGTAGCTGAAGCCCACGGTTTTGCCATTTAGCACAACTGCAACAAGGCTTTTTGTTTGTTTTTTGATGTACACATCAGGGCACGGGCAAGAGGAAAACTAGCATTTAATTGACAAGGACACTTTCCCATGTATATACATCCAAGCCATTCAGTGTAGAGCTTCGGGACACTTAAATGTCATATTTCTGAAAATCAGAAAGCATTAAGTGTATGTGGTAAGGCAGGCATTACAAAAATGTAATTAGCAGCATGGGTGCCAAGCTAATGCACTTACAGACGAAGAGCCCTTGCACTATTGATATGTATGGCAATCATATGTCTGTAATTTCCAGTATATTATTTCCTTGGTCCCTAGGAATTAGACATTTTTCTGCATCTAGAATTCTGTTTCATCATTATGTGTAGTGCTACTTTATCCTTAATTACAACTCCTTAATAGTTTCACAACTTCCCTATGTAATATGCATGTTACAGTATTTTTATCAAAAATGAGGCCAAAAACATTTAAGAAAAACACTGAAAGTTCATACTAGTATCAGACAGGTAAATGAATATGTAGTAAAAATGATTTTTCACCAAAAACTTTTACGAGGTTACCTGAAATTTCCATTTAAGAGGCTGATATTTCAATCTTAATCCACAAACTTATAGTGAAGAGAGTTTCTGATATTCTTTTCCCCCATTTCTCTTTATTCTTTTTTTAATTAGACAGTGTTTCCTGTAGTGCACCATATTTCTTTCTGCAAGACAGTGCATGAAGATGTTTCTGCTTTTATTGCATTTAAGGAGGAAACAAGGGTATGAGGTGTTGAAGCAGCTGGTGCACTCTAATTGCAGTCATGAATCAACTAATTTGATTTGGGGGGTGAGAGTATGAGCAAAACAAAACAACCCAAAACCCACTAGTTTTCCACCTTTTCCCACTTGCTTTTTCAATGAAATACCACGTTTATGACTGACATACCAGAAAGAATGTTTTTAGCTAAAAAGAACCCAAAAGTACTACTTCAGTCCCCTATTTTCCTCTTAAAAAATGACAGTCTCTTAACTTTTTGGCATATAAATAGGTTGCTTCATACAGAATTTTTCTCCTGCATCCAAAATTTTAACACCTGTGTTTGAATATGTGAAATTAAAGGAGGAGCTGAAGGTCCTGTACACCTGGATAGCACTACTAGAAATAGAAGCTAGAATAGTTATGCTCCCTTGTGCAGTTCTAATACTGGGCCCAGTCTTGTCAGATAGATAACTTGTAGGATTGTTAGAGGCAGCGTTTTGCACTCTACACGTGGAGTCCAGTACAGACATGCTTTATACCACAGAGTTTGGGCTGTAGCAGTGCAACTGTTCCTCTCTTCTTGAAGGAGCATTACTAACTCTTGCAGAGGCAGCAGGATCTGCATTATCCTGCCACTAGTGTCTGAGTATCAATATCCAGGGAATGACCATTTGAGGATTGAAAAGCTATATCATTTTGCAGTCGCAAAGTCTGCCCAAGCTTACAGAGCTGGCATAGAGCAAAAGATGGCATTCCACTAAGTTATTTAGCATGTGTTTATAAATTTCAGATTTTAATTAAGTCCCAGCTATAAAAACAGAGACTCACTAGGGCTGTCTGCAAAAATACTTTATGGCAAACATAGGTTTAGGGGACCACCCAAGGGTTTTTTTCTGCATATCATAAATATTTCAGCTTCAAGGCAGCTTCCTGGATTGTACCAACACCACAAGATTGCCAACATGAAGTGTTGAGGAGGTGGTAAGAAGATGTTTCTGCTTCCAGTTAGCAGAAGAGCACATTTCAGAGCCCTTAGCTTGAAATTTTCGCATGTCAGTGCCCTGCAGACTATAAGTGGTTCTTAAGGATACGGTATCACCCTAAATCTCACTTTTGGCAAAGGCAGCTGCAAAATGTTTAGCATTTTCAGAGCGTATATCACTTCCATTCAAATTTTTTGAGTTTTGGCCACCAATGTTTGTGTTGTATAGCTGCAAAATAGTCAGGAAGTTACACACAGATTGTAGTTACAAAAGTAACTGTAAGCTGTGATGCTTGAACTACATTTGAAGTAAACCGGCATCTTGAGTAGCAATAATATTAAATAATAAATGTATTTAGTAGTAACATTAAATAGATATAAAGAAATATAATGACAAGGCAAGGCTGTGGAATTAATTCACTACCAAGCGATACCTTGAGCTAATGGCCTACTTTGTACTTCCAGCATGGTTTACTCGTTCTTCTGTCCTGTTGCCCACAGTAAGTTGTATTTGACAAACTGTGGGTATTACTATCTTTCAGGTTTCAACACAGCCAGTTCCACAGGAGCCCAGCAGAAAGGATTATGAACCATATCAGCCATTTCAGAATTCAACAAGAAACTATGACGAGTCCTTCTTTGAGGACCAAGTGCATCATCGCCCACCTGCAAGCGAATACAACATGCACCTGGGACTAAAGTCAACTGGCAACTATGTCGACTTCTATTCAGCTGCTCGTCCCTATAGTGAACTTAACTATGAAACAAGCCACTATCCAGCCTCTCCCGACTCCTGGGTTTGAGACTTGGGCAGATACAAAAGCTCCAGGAACTGTGCATGTGCATGCATACCACAAGACATTTTTTTTCCTGCAGATTTAGTTTGTTAAAGCCTGTTCCATAGGAAGGCCCAGATAACCAGTATGGAAAAATTTAAGAGATTTTTTTAGAAGGCTAAAAGATACAAAAGCTAAACCTGGAAGTAATTAGAAAGAAATATATATGCATATATATATTTTACAGTGTGGGGCAACTTTATTGTTGGCCTGTAGAGTCTAAAGTTTGGTGCTGTATATTGAATGTGGCTGAAGGAAGGAGGGAGAACATGGCAGTGGATGTGGGTCAAGAGTTAAGCACAAGTAACTGAGCAGCGTACATACTTTATGGGGAACAGCTTCTCACAGTTTGTTTAATATCCTCATTCATTGTGAATCTAGGCTTCAAGTTGCATTTGGGGTTTCCTCTGTACAGCAAGATGTTTCTTGCCTTTTGTTAATGCATTGTTGTAAAGTATTTGATGTACATTACAGATAAAAAAAAAAGAAGTGCATTGTGTATATTACACCAATGCCACAGTGTTTCTTCATCTATGGTTCTAAATATTGCTTCAATTTCAAATTTTGAAAGATGTATGAATTTCCAGTTTTTCGTTTTCTTCTCCCCGGTGCGTTTTAACAAAAAAAAAAAAAAAAAAAAAATTGCAAAAAAAGATCAAAAAAACAAAAAGGAATATTTAGCAGTATTGTTTGTTCTGATATGTGAATTTGTTTGTGGCAACTAAAAACAAAAAAAAAAAGGCATTCAGCAGTTTCTGACAATTAACATTCATCATTCCACACTCCTTGTCAACGAAGTGCTTTTTCACTGCCTAAAATTTTAGATGTAGATATTTGAAATAGATTTTTTTCATTTATACCAGTTTTCTTTATGATGATACAGTGTTAAAAGAAAATAAATTACAATTGATCTGTCATCCATATTTGCTAAGAATGTCTATTTCCAAGAACCTACCATACAAATACACATTCTTACTTGTGGTGTGTCCATGTATGCATAGTATTCTGTGTGCGTGTGTGTGTTTGAGCGTGTGTGTTTGTGTGGCGTAAGACTTCTTCTCATCCAATGTTCTCCTTGTTCAAGCTTCAATTTTTGTTTGATTTTCAGTTTTTTTAAACAGTGGAAACTCCAGTATGTGCTTTCTCTTACTCACTTTCTTAACCATTGATAGCAATTCAAAATTGTCAGGCCACATACTCACAAAGGAAGGGGTTGTCAGATTCTTTTCGCTGACTCCTTCACTCTTAGGTGCCATTTCCTTTAAAATAGCATCTCTTGATCTTCTCTTGAGGAAATTTCATTACTCTCCAGCCACCAACCAAGTGCTCAAGGAAGGCAGAGTTTGATCTTGCCATCTCCCTGAGGGAATGGAAAACAAAGACCCAACAGACTAAAGTCTGGAGTCTCCAAACTCTTTAGTCTTACAGAAGGGTCCAATTCCTGAACCATTAGGACAATCATTTGTTTTAACCCATACCAAAAAGAAGACCCAACACCCGGAATACATTCCTCAAATATGAAAGATACTGACCATTTATGTGCATTTAAAGTAAAACTCAAAAAAAGTAAAAAATGTAAGGCACAGAGATATTTTTTATTATTATTATTTAAAAGAAAAGGAAGCTAAGCTAGGAGGCCAGGAGAGCTGGCATATTCATCTTATCCTCTGGGATTCTGGAAGTAAAAAAAAACAATTTAGCATTTCTTCATTTCTTTGGTTCAGGCAACATTTCAGTGTACTGTTTTCACAGCGTAAGACCCACCACAAATGGAGTAGTTGTAAATTGCTTCAATTGCAGTTAAAGAATTTGTTTTAGGTTGCAAACATCTCTGTGATTAGTCATTGTGATAGTCTTACCATCACCTGGCACGCTTCTGGCTGTGCGCAGGGGGAGAAGTCTCTCGCAAGTCATCGCCTGCTCTGTAGGACGCAGCCCGAGTAGTTCACGCAGGCGGGTGTTGTGACGTAGCATTGGTTTATCGGTGATCTAGGACTATAGTTGAATATCTTGGCAGCTTTTCCCGGTGTACGATATGTAACCTTATCTGCTCTTTGTAGTAAACAGGGGGAAAAAAATCGCATGCAAAAAAATTTTTAACACATTTAAGACAGGGTGGGTGGGAGGGGCACAGTGGGCCAGATGTATAGCGAGGTAGATAAAAATATTATTCATAGTTTTGGACACAGGTTGTTTATATTTTATTTATTACATTGATTTTAATAAGATAAGTGACATTTGCAGTGCTCTTTTGAACAAAGCGCATTTTCAGTATAAAAGCTTTTTTTTAATAAAGAATGTCACTCGCAACTTGAAGTTCTTCTTGACTGCCTGATAACCACCAGGCTGGTGCAGTTCTCCAGGCACCGCATTGCCAATAGGCAGAGGGGATGTGTCATTCTGTTTGAAGTTCTTAGGACAGGAGGTTATTGTAAGTTGGATTTATTTCCATTCTTCAAGCTACTGAAACGCCCACATTGCCCCCTTTCAGCTCCTCTTAGGAATTACTTGGAGTCAAATGTTGACCATTGCTCAAGTGAGAGATTCTGGATCGATCAAGTGGCATAAAATACCTTTTGTCTATACTTTGTGTTGTTTTGTTTCCATTCTTCTGTAGTGGCAAGTGCTCCAACTGATAACGTTCACTCTTGCTGTAATGAGTTTTGAGAAGGTGTTGAATTACCTGGCTTCTTTTCTAGACTTGGAAATCCAACACAGCTGCCATACTGAGCAAGATATATATATGATGCATTCTTTTTAATATTGAGGAAAGTATCATTACCTATTGCTGTTCCCTTCATTCTTGTACTAGATCACACACAGAAATAGAGAAGAAACAAAACTGTTCCAAAAACAAATGTATAAAATGCAATTGATGTACTGTAAAATGTCGGATTTTTTTTTTTTTAACAAGCTTCGTATTAGAATCTTGTTCAGCTGTGTAGAGCTATATAAATCTCACTGTTTTATTAAATGCTGTTAATGGTCTGGAAGGAATGGTTAACCTATCTCAAGATTAACAAATTTGCACTAACATGAGCAATATTGATTTGAAAAAAAAAGTAGTATGAATTCAATATTTAAAAGATAAACTATGATTTTAAAGGTATATTAACATTGAAAGTACATTTTGACAAATAACATATTTAAGCCCAAAATATAAATGGTTATGTCAGATAACACAAAAGAACTATAACAATATAGATTGAGAAAAAAAATGTGTTTCACTGTACATGTTGCTAACATGTACAAAGACAAACTCCTATTGACATATTTTCTATTAATAAATCCTACTGTATTGTGGAGAATTGCTGGTCACAGTGCAATATGTTTAAACTCAGAAGTTGACTCCATAGACTGATGCCTAGATTCACACAGCCAATAAACCCCAGGTATTTATTTAAAGTGTTAATTGGATACCTAACTTTCAGCTTTCAAGTCATTTCCTCCCCCCTCCTTCTCCACCAGGTTTTATAAGCACAGCACCAAGCAAAGGGGAGAGGTATTTTTGAGAACACCCTAATCATAGCTGCAAGAGTCCAGCTGCCGCTGCTTACAGAGAGATAGTTTAACTACACCAGCAGGAAAAAACTCAAAAGCTCAAGGCTGGTGCCACTGGATAGGAACATGCTGTAAAAAAATATGAGCTTGGCCCCAGTGTTACGTAGACCACAGCCAAGAAGCAAAAAGCAAGCCATTAATTTACTCGTGCATTGCTGGGAATCCCAGCATGCGGTCCATGTAAGGGCTCAGGAATAATTGTTTCCCGGAACTGGGTTGCAGTTGCATTAGCCTGCAGAAGCATCTCATTGGGAGACTTGCAACTAAGAAATGCTGACTTACTTTTTTATACTTTGGCATAATACAGGCCAGTGTGCTGCAAGGGAGGCTTTCTCAACCCCTCTGCCACTGTTCCTCATCCTCTCCTGCCAGCAGGCAGAACAAGCCCTGGGTTTAGTGTTACTGCTTGTATTGAGTAGGAGAGATGGAGACAGCAATCCAAGGCAAGAGGGGCAACACAGAAACAAGGCCCCTAAAAATAGAGAAACTCAGAGCTTGTGTGTGAAGGCAGATACACACCCATAATTACTAACAGTAGAATGGACCCAGCAAGAGATTTTATGCACTGAGATCATCAAATATGACTAACAACAACCTAATGTAGTGAGCACTTAATAGCAGCAACATGATGCACGCAAAGCTTTGTGCTAGGAAAGTGGGAGGGAAGAGGAGAGGGAAATCACAGGTCACCACTGGGCACTTCCAGCTTCAGCCAGCAGATGTTGGGCAGGACAGCAGTGACTACTTACTGCTGTGAAGGAGAGACAGGAGGGATGAGGCTCTTGATCAAAAACAAGCAAGCGAAAAAAAAACCAACCAAAAAAAGTCAAAAAGACATTAGGCAGCCAAAACAGAGGCAACTTTTTGCAAACACCCCTCCCCCCACTTTGCCCCACCATCCTCAATGGCAGAGTGTGTTCCCCCCTCCAGGTACATGGACACAGTGCACATGGGGTTGCAATTTGAAACCCAGTGTTCTCCCTGGAGGCCAGATGTGCACCAATATCTGCTGAAGACCTGTGCGGTGCTGGCTCTTTTCCAGAGGACTAGCCGGTGTTTAGACAGTGCCTAAAGCCAGTTTCAGACATTTAGGCTGAAAATGGGAGCTTTGAGTTTCATTCCCAGGCGAGGGGGGAATTGAAGCCTGCAGCTGATACCTATAGGGAGCAGAGCATCCCCGCCTTCCAGGTGCTTCTAAAAAACAAGTGAGAAAAGCAGTGACTGTCATGTCTTTTGATAGCCTGGGTTAGGAGCACTTCCTACTGACTCGACTCTTGCTGCAGTCTTCCAAGAGCCACACCAAACAATGCCATCTAACACAAGCACTTCAAGTTCTTCCTCTCCAATGCCCCCCAGGTTTTGCACCATCTCGACTGCAGTATATCATTCGAAAGATCAGCACACCCCAATCCTCTGCAAGGCCAGCAAGGTACATGCAAGAGCACTGGTGCTGGCCAGGCACAGTACTCTAGCAAGACACCAGGCTGATGCATTATTCCTAAACCTAATTCCCAGTCAAACTCACTGAGTATTTTTAATGCAATTTTAAAAGCAGTTTCCTTCCTCTGTGGGCATTGCTATTGCTCTGCCAGAAGAAAGCACATGCTAAACTCTTGCAAAGTGTAAACCTTTTGCTTACACCTAGTTTTAAAGACCACAGAAGTCCCCATAAAGGCTTCTGCCAGCTTCAGCAAGCCATGCATCAGGCCCAAAGTGAAAACAGGTGAAGAGTTGCTGCAACCTTCTCAAAGAAGGAGCACCTTGAGGCCACTCTTGCCAGCACGCCAAAGGCTGCAACCTTCAAATAGCTAAAAGGGAGAAAAAAGCCAAGTTATTTGCTAGTACCTGTCTGTCAAAATTTACTATGGAGCCTTTGGCTCTCTCAATTTTATTTTCATTGGTTTAAGAGAGTGACATAGACAAAAAGTACTTACTGTGATCGATTGTTGCAGTTAATTTCAGTAGCAGATGAGTAGTTTCAGACACTGAAATACCTTTCTTTTCCGACATGCAAAATCTGAAGCTTGCCACTAAATCTGGGAAAGCAAAATAGCAGTGGTTTGCTGATTCACTATTTTTCACAAATTCAATTAAAGTATTAATTCACATAAGCCTTTTCAATTATATATATATAGCCCAGTGGCAATGGAGGTTACTTTTTTTTACATGATTTACTTACTTTACATGAATGTTACATAGGCAGAAAAATGATAACTAAACGTGTCAAGACAATAAATAGGACATCAAAGCTGAAGAGAAAATTGAGGCTACTGTACCGACACAATCAACCGTTACCTTTGTTTGCCATCAACTTATAGGGGAAAAAAGAAATAGTATGAAGCCTAACACACTGCCT